CCAAGGCAGCTCTTGTGACATCATGTATGTCAGATGTTACAAAGAGCTCGGCCTTTACCAAGATGATTTGGAGCAATCCAATAACCCTATGGTCAGGTTCAATGGAACACCGACATGGCCTCTGAAAGTAATAAATTTGGGGGTGAAAGCAGGCACCAAGAAGGTAAGCACAGAGTTCATAGTAATTGACATCCCCTCCCCTTACAATGTTATCTTGGGAAAGCCATGGTTGCACGCAATGAGGGTTGTTTCCTCAATACTGTACCAGTTGTTGCAATTTCCAACAGAGCATGGAATTGAGGAGGCCAGATGGGATCATGTGCAGGCAAAGAATTGCTCCATGGTAGCAATGAAATCCACCTGCACCGTGCGAGAGGTAGAAATAATAGAAATTGAGGACAAAGACATGGATGTCCTGGATGACGTTAGCAAAAAGCCGACCGACAAAAGCGAGGAAGTTTTGAAGAAAATTCTGGTCTAACAAAGGAATGAAGAGTGCTTCTTCTTTCTCGGCTCAGGACTAGCCTAGAAGGAGGAAAGGGGGTTAGAGTCATTCTTGCGAGCAAACATAGAGGTGTTTGCCTGGATGGCATACGAGATGCCTGGCATTAATCCCGAGGTCACTTGCCATAGACTAAATGTAGACAGGTTGGCTAAACCTGTCATTCAGCGAACAAAGAGACCGACATTGGTTCATGTGGAGGCAGTAGAGGAGGAAGTGGACAAATTGTTGGAGGCCAAAGCCATTCAGGAGGTAAACTACCCAACTTGGTTGTCAAACACAGTTGTTGTGAAAAAGAAGAATGGGAACTAGAGGGTCTAGGTGGACTTCACCAGCCTGAATAAGGCTTGTCCCAAAGACAGTTTCCCACTCCCCAAGATCAATCAATTAGTAGATGCCACTTTAGGTCATGGAAGGATGAGCTTCTTAGACGCTTACAACAGATACCATCAGATAGCGATGTATCCCCCCGACGAGGAGAAGACTGCATTTATCACCCCAAAAGGACTGTATTGCTACAGAGTGATGCCTTTCGGGTTGAAAATGCAGGAGCAACCTACCAAAGGTTGGTGACCAAGATGTTCAGACATCTAATTGGCAAAATAGTAAAAGTGTACATTGATGACATGGTCGTGAAGACCAAAGAACCTGAGAATCACCTGGCCGACTTAAAAGTAATTTTTGATATCCTTAGAACATATCGGCTTCGACTTAATGCTTCGAAATACGCATTTGGAGTTGGGTCTGGTAAGTTCCTAGGATACTTGGTTACCAGAAGGGGCATGAGGCAAGCCCAGTTCAAATCAAGGCTATCTTGGACTTGAAAAGCTCGACACCGGCAAAACAGATACAGATGTTGACTAGAAGGGCCGTAGCCATGAACAGATTTATAAGCAAAAGTTCAGATAAGTGTAAATCATTTTTCAGTTTGTTGAAAAAGGCCACAGATTTCTTATCGATAGAGGAATGTGAAATCGCCTTGGCCGACTTGAAAAAGTACCTGACAACAGCTCCAATTCTGTCAAATCCAATACCTGAAGATGAACTATTCTTATACTTGGCCGTTTCAGAGCACGCAGCGAATGTAGTGATAATCAGGGAAGAGAAGGGAAAACAAAGGGCAGTATACTATGTGAGTAAAACCCTAGCAGGCACAGAGACTAGGTACTTATCTCTAGAGAAATTGACACTGGCCTTAGTGATGGCTTCCAAAAAGTTAAATCATTATTTCCAGGCCCACAAGATTGTGGTATTGACTGAGCATCCCTTGAAGTCCCTGTTACAACAAGGAGATCTGACAGGCAAGGTAGCCAGATGGACAATGGTATTGGGCCAATATGACTTAGAGTTTAGGCCTAGAACGACAATCAAAGGCCAGGTTCTAGCCGACTTTGAGGCCAAGTTCACACCTGGTGCCATCCCCCGTCGGGCTCCGGTGAACCGCGACTTAGGATGTCCAGGGAAACAAGAAGAGACCCAGCTAGGAATGAAAAACCCCACAGTAGAGCAGAAGAAAAAAAAAAAACCCAAGCCCTGCAATATCTACATCGGCGACTCCTTCGGCCTGTTTGTTTATGGGAGTTTAAACCATCAAGGAGCGAGGGCAAGAGTGGTGTTGGTATCACCAGATGAGCGAATGTTGGAACAGTCTATCCGTTTGGGGTTCAAAGCCTCAAATAATGAAGCAGAATATAAGGCACTAATCGCAGGGTTGAAGTTAGCAACAGCAATGGAAGCCGATGAGGTGGTAGTCTTCTGTGACTCGCAACTTATTGTGAGCCAGGCGACAGGCGAGTATGCAGCCTGAGATGAAAGAATGATAGCCTATGTCAAAGAAGTTGTTAGACTGCTAGCCTTGTTCCAAGATTGTCGACTATAGTAGGTTAGCCGAGATGATAACAGCCATGCCGATGCGTTGGCTAACCTGGCTAGTACAATGAAATTATAAGAGACAAGGACAATAATGGTTGATTATTTGTCAGGCCCAAGTGTGGAACCACTAATTACAGAGTATGAAGCAATGTGTGTGGAGATGGGTCCAAGTTGGATGGATGCAATAGTGATGTTTCTTAGGGACAGCAAGCTACCAGATGATCGCAAAAAGGCGTATAAGACCAGATTGAAGTCGGCAAGGTTTAGCCTAACAGCAGAAGGACAACTCTACAGAAGGTCTTTTACTGGTCCCCTTTTGAGGTGTGTACATCCCTCCCAGGTTGAAGACTTCTTGTATGAAATACATGAAAGGGTATGTGGAAGCCATATTGGGAGCAGATCACTTGCTCATAGGGCCATTACTCAAGGATACTTGTGGCCCTACATGCAGAAGGATGCTAAAGCCTACGTCAAAAAGTACGAGAAGTGTCAGAGGTTTGCACCTTTAATACATCAACCAGCCACAAATTTGAACCCAGTAACCAGCCCTTAGCCATTTGCCCAGTGGGGCATGAACCTGGTTGGACAACTACCCCAAGCAACTGGGCAAAAGAAGTTTCTGCTAGTAACAACTGATTACTTCACAAAATGGGTAGAAGCTGAACCCCTTGCGAAGATTCAAGATATTGATGTGAAGAACTTCATATAGAAGAACATCATCACCAGGTTTGGGATCCTAAGGGCAATAATAGCAGACAATGGTACACAGTTTGACAGTAAGCTAATTAAAAGCTTCTGTGAAAAGTACAAAATCAAGAACTACTACTCTACTCCAAGTTTCCCTCAGAGTAATGGTCAGGCAGAAGTATCCAATAAAATTATCTTGGATGGGATCAAAAAGAGGCTGGAAGTAACAAAGGGAAAATAGGTGGAGGAGTTGCCCAATGTACTCTAGGCATATCAGACTACACTGAGAAGATCAACTGGAGAATCCCCATTTGCCATGGCTTATGGCACTGAAGCAGTTATCCCACTAGAATTCGGCATCCCTAGGATCAGAACCCAAGGAGCAGTGAATGGAACTAATGAGGCATACCTGGTCTGAGATCTGGACTTGCTGGAGAAGAAAAGAGAGAGAGCAGCAATTCGGCTGAAGGCATACCAGCAACAACTTGCTAGGGCTTACAATAAGAAAGTCAACCCAAGAGAGTTTAAAGTTAGGGACCTCGTCCTAAGAAAGGTCGTCGGCAATAAAAAGGATCCCAAAGAGGGAAAACTTGGCCCAAACTAGGAGGGGCCTTATAAAGTCACCTCGATTTCTGGCAACAGGTCATATCGGCTTAAGGATAGTGATGGCAAGGAATTGCCAAGACCCTGGAACACTTGTAACTTGAAGTTTTTCTATCATTAGATTATTATTTTTTTTAAAAGTTTATGCCATTAGCCGAAGTAATAATAAAATTTTAGTTTGATTTTTATGAATTTGAGATTTGTGTGGTAGGACTGACCAGTCCCATGGCAATATTTCTGAATGAAACATGACGAATAACTTAGGCTTATTATATGGCAGAGTTGAATTATACTTGCATATAATAGAGTTGAACTAAGTTTGTGATGTTTCTGAATGAAATATGACGAATAACTTAGACTTATTATATGACAGAGTGGAATTATACTTGCATATAATGAAGTTGAACTAAGTTTGCGATGTTTCTGAATGAAACATGACGAGTAACTTAGACTTATTATATGGCAGAGTAGAATTATACTTGCATATAATGGAGTTGAACTAAGTTGACGATATTTCTGAATGAAACATAACGAATAACTTAGACTCATTATATGACAAAGTTAAATTATACTTGCATATAATAAAGTTGAATTAAGTTAAATTAACCTAGACTTGTCATATCGGCAGAGTCAAACTCAGAATGGAACTAAGTTCATTAACAGAGAAACCAAGGTTGAAACACCTCAGGAAGTCTTTGTTTGAATCTGACTTCGGTGAAAGACCATAGACACATTCTTAATGTGAACTTAAGTGGAACTTAGGTTCACATTAGGGGGCAGGGGGCAGAAATGATAAATAAACTTAAGAGCTTGGGACTTGTTGAAATTTTTTAAAAAATTACAAGTTAAATTGGGCTTAACACTTATTGAAAATTCGGAGAAATTTACAAGTTGGAGTTAGCCAAGGTAATTATAAATAAAGTATCCGAGATCCAAGTTGTCAAAACTTGGAAAGGGTGAAGTCTTAATAGCAGATAGCATATGGAGATACAAAAGCAATATTGAATAACACTTGCAAAAATATTTTGATATTTTTAAAGTGTTAGCCGAGGTATGAAAATGGTTGGCCGAGGCAAACAGTCAAGGTTTATATCCGAGGTATTATATCCTGGAGTTGTCATATAGTTAAGGTATACTTTGAAGAAATGCAAAAATATTCTAAGTATGGAAGCATGAAAGAAAGCAGTAAACATGCATAGAAGAAAAAAAGGCATACATTCAACACTTAGAAGAAAATATAAGAAAAACTTGTTCACAAACAAAGGCACTTCGGCTTGGCAAAAGAGATTACTTGTCCAAAAATTACAAACTATTCAAAAGTAAAAATTAAAAATTCCTAAGAGTTGGAATTATGGGCACTGGTCTCAGATCGCTTAACCTCGGTTGTTGGCGGTGTGTCGTCCTCGGTTGGCAATGTGACTTCCTTCTCCGCCGCTATCTCGGCATCAATTTCCAGCAAGGTCTGGTCCAAGCTCTTCTCAGCTGCCTGGACCTCGGCCTCAGAAGTATTTTGTTTTGGAGAGGCTCCCTTGGAAGCCAAGTGTTCCTCCTTATCATGAGTCAAGTCCAGGACTCGATCATTCAATGTTGGGGACTTGGCCCCCTTAGCAGCATCTTCTTCTTCTTCAGTGTCGTCCAACTCGGCCTCCTCTTCATCGTCCTCGCTGCCCGATCCTTTAGAAGGCTGAGGGAAGGGCACTTGAAGTTTATTGATATCTCAAAGGTCGGAATCCATTGGGGTGGAAAGCTTGTTCAAAATAGCCATCCAGCGGAGATAGTACCCTCGGTTGCAGGCTTGATTTACTTATTCCTTGTAAGCATTACGTACGTCGGCTTGGCCTTCGGCATAGGCCTTTTCATCAGCTACCTTGATTTCGACCACCTTGGTTGCCAAGGCCTCTTGCAACTTCGCCTCGGCTTTGGCAATTTTAGCCTCAAACTCTTTTGCCTCGGCCCTGAGAACATCGGCCATCGCTTCAGCAGCCTTCGTTTTCTCCTCGAGTTAATCTTGAGCCTGTTTGGCGGCCTTGGCTTGATCTAGCAGTATCTTCATTTTTGCCTCAGCGTTATTAAGGGAGGCAAGGAAGCTAGCAGCCTCTTTGGTCTTACGAACCAACTCTTTCTTCAAATCCTCGGCTTTTATTACAAAGGAATGAGCATGCTAGATCGCCTAGAAGAAAATGAATGAACAAGTTAGTAAATTTTAAAGTAGGAGAACTTGAAGTAAAAAGCCAAAAAAAAAGAAAAGAGTTCAAAGACTTACCAGAACTGAGTGTTGCATCATTAAAGCAAAGTTTTATACTCAGTGACCTCGGCCATACGATTTAGATCAGTTGGCAGAAGGACAGTGGTAGAAAGAGCGACGCCGACCTCAATATTGTCAATGGCACTGTCGCTGGCTTTGATTGGTTGATCGCTAATCGTGATGGCAGATGCCCAGAGGTCATCGACTTTGAAAGAACTTCAACTTGCAGTCGCTTGGGACCTCAACTTCTTCGAACGTGAGGTGTCGGACGGCTAGTCTTCGGTAGGCCTCTTCTCCGCGTTGGAGGCACTCTTCTCAGTTTCAGCCAATTTTGAGATTGGCAGGGTATCATCTGTATCAACTTGGGTGACAGAGGCTTTTGTCTTAGTCCTCTTCACCCTTTTTGGCTTTGGTTAGATTTGGGATTGAGACGAGGAAGACTGAACGGTAACAACTCTTGGAATGTCGGCCAAGAGGTCTTCCACAACAGGTTTGCCGCGGCCCATGTCATTGGCAGTTACAGCAACAGTAACTCTGGTGCCAAAGTGGATCATAGGAAATGCAATTGGTGGATTGGATAGATTGTAAGCCGATGCCTCAAAATCTCGGCATTTGCAGCTACGAGTTCTACCGGCTGGAGCGTTTGCTGGGGCACAACGTCTGCGTCGGCACTAGGATGTCAAGATAAGCTAGGAGGTAGAGGTTGATGGTAACTCGACTGGATCTGAAGAGGAAACCTGATCAGCTCTTGGAGAAGAAATGACTGGTGGGGTTGAGGCAGGCGGTGGAGTTTGACTTCTCCGGGGGACGTCGGGCAAAGCCAACTTATATGTTGGTATGTAATTCAACAGAAGAGGGACCTTGCGTTTCTGCACAAGGAGATCCAAGCGCTTCTTTAGATCTCGGCTGGGGACGTATGATTGCTGAAATCCCTTTGCTAGCTGAGGAAGAACTATAGAAAACAAGAAGCAAACATTAGCAGAGATAAATGAGTTGGCAAGCCTTAACAAAAATGTAATTACAGTTGGATGACTAAATATTACCATCACCCTCTTTAAAAACTTTTCGACGCAGAGAATAGTGATGAAGATTGTCATCAGGTGCAAACTCCCAGTTGCCCGAGACGATGAAGTAATCATCTCCAGCACCCTTGTTAGAGTCTGGGAGGTCGGCTATTATTTTGAAGGCAGTGGATCTGGGCTTAAGGTAGTATATGTAAACTTTTTCTGACTTAAGGCAACACATGATATAGCAGAATTGGATGTCAGCTAATGAGATCCTAGCTTTTTCCCGGTGTGCTAATTCAATTATGTCGTTGATAACCCTATATGAGTTTATGGCAAGTTGCATGGGGTTGAGTTTGTAGTAGTGGAGGATCTCCCGAAAGAGAGTGTCTAAGGGAAACCGAAGCCCGCATTCAATAAATGCAACGACAGGGAAAGGCATGAAGTTTTCATCGGGCATGATGGAGTCCTCCTTCCTAGCTAACCTCAAATGGACGTTAGCTGGGATAGAGAACTCCCGCCTAAAATGCTCTAGTTTTTCGGAGGTGTCCACCCTCTACCTAAACATACCCATTTTCTCGGCAAGAATGGGTGAGACAACCAAATGAATGATATAGGTCTAAAGACCTCGGCTTAAAACCTAAATAGGCGCTAATGCAAGGGTTTTTACAGATCTAAGGGAAGTTTATTTCAATTCTTCTTAGGTATTTGGTTTCTAGGCAAATCCCAAACCTATGATCTATGTAAATGAATGAAATTTGAAGGCCAGAATCTGGAAACAAAGCAAGAAAAGCAAAAAGCAAGGCATGATTTAGAATCAAGAAAGTAACAAAGACTCAAGAGTGAGAAAAATCACAGAACACTAAGTGAGTGTGTACAGAACATTGAACAAAAAACACGACAGGCAAGCACAATTGACATTTCAATGATACAACTCGAAAACACAACAAAAATTCAAAGAAACAAGAAATGATTCATGATAAAGTGGAAGATGGAAATAAAATAGCAACAGACTATATTCACAGATGACAAATTTGGAATCAACCAAAAACGGAAGACTGAAATTGAAGAGAAGGAATCAGTGACTTACCGAGGAAATAGATACCCGGATGAAGATCGCCGAAGTCAAGCGACATGAATATTCAGAAACAGGTGATAAAATGGTTGCCGGAGGAGGTAATCGGAGCAAGTACAGAGCTTCGAAAGTATGAAAATGGCAGAATTTAGAGAGAGAAAAATGAAGCGCATAGAGAAATCAGTTTTGCAAAAGTGAAGAGGCAAAGAGAGAGAGTAAGAGTTTTGTTAAAAACACAAAAAGGCTACAAAACATAATGAGACGCGTTGGACAACGTGCTTGTCAGGCGACGTGCGCAGAAGCGACGCAACTTGATAGCGCGTGTCAGGTACGAACTAATGAGAGAAGGACACATGGCAGAAACGGTTGAGAAAACCGTGCATAACAGCTCATACGCAAATAGAACTCTTGGAGTTCTTGATTTAATGAAGCAAAAACCTCGGCTAGAGGAACGATCTCAGTTAAGATACTTAAAGAGCTTAGTTCTTGGTTCTTGATCCCTAATAAAAATGGACAGTGAAGTGTTGGGTACTTGAAGCCGACAAGTAATGATCTCAGTCGATAGGAATGAATGAATTTTCAGCCAACATAGTATTTGAACAAACGATGTAGGTTCCATCACCTCAGGATGTTGAGGTAATCCTGAGGTGATGGAACCTAGGGGGCAATTGTGGGGACGTATTTTGTGAAGGACAGCACATGGCCAAGGTGACGCCGGAGTGTCAACCGAGGTACCACATGGCCTGGTTCTGACGCCAAGGTGATCTCGGCTAAGCCGAGGTTATCTGTGGAGATATCGGAATCTGAGATGAGCGGATAAGGGACAAACGTCATAAGACCAGGGAAGATCTCAGTCTGGATAAAAACAAAGTTCTTATGGAGTTTATCCCTATCTAACTGAGGGTCTAGGATAGGCATTGAGCCTAAATCCATTGAAGTAAGACTTCTACAAGGATTAGGTTAGTATTGGGTATAAAAGCAGTATACCCTCGTGGGTCTAAGGTATGCTTTTTATGTTCTGTCTAGTGAGTTAAGTACTATTGGTCATCTTTGAGAGATATTTGATTATTGACTTGATCGTTGGAGTGTCTCTGGGTGGACGAACCACCACCGAATTCTTATCTTTCTGTAATAGGTTGTTCGAGCTAATCTATTCTACCGATACTTTCCAGCTGAGTTTCCCATTTGGTTGTGTGGTCGGAAATTCACACCCACATAAACCTAATAACAATATTAGTGGAAAATGATTTCTCTCTCTAACCTTATTTAGAATATGCTATATTCAAAATAGTTGATAGATGATCTGAATATACTTTTATAGGGAGAGAGATGACCAGTTTCCTAATATAACTATAACTCCACTTGCGTAGGACACTTGAAAACTATTCTATCTATTGACCAATTAGATAATAACTTATGGTTCAAATTATGAAACTATAATTTTATTAAATTTATAATTCATATTACCATATCATATATGTCACTATTATGACTAAATAATTAAATTTAATCTTACAAAAAAAACATATAAAAAAGTAAGGAGATAATGTGATAAAAATAAGTGAATAAGTCAATAAACAGCTTATTTTGTTCAAAAGAGGCCTACGATTTGTCTTAATGAAATCCACGAGACGAAATTTATTTGCAAGCTTATAAATATTCTCAATTTTAAAGAATCTATAATTATCCCTAGGATCCAAACATGAGCTGGGAATGAGCAATTGCATTATATCCTCCTTAAATTGTTGTTTAGTTCTTGCAACTAAGAATCAATTATAATTATAAAAACATCAACTTGAAAATTATGCTTCATGATAATATCATCTCTTTGATGCACTCTTTACAATAAGGGTCATACTAGAATACACTCTCAAAATGGTGTATATCATTAGTAAATTATGACATTTGTAATATTAATTATCACAAATGTTATAATTAAATTATTTTTAAACATAACTACAAAATAACAATGAATCATAATTAAACACCATATAAAATAAACCAAAAATCTTTGAAATTATAACTAAAATAATAATTCAATAAGTTATAACTAATATCATGATATCATAATCAAATATCATCAACATCAAAACAAAAGCATATGGTACACAATAAACCCTAAACCCAAAATATAAAATGTATATTATTGAATTCATCTTAGAAGAAATAACACATCAAAAACCCAAACTCTTGCCAAGAAGTACACGAACAGTTATCTAGATAAGGAATGTATCTAAATCTATCTATTTATATACATAGATCTTGTTTTTTTTTTTACAAAAATTAAATAAATAAATAAAGTTGACTCCGGGAGTAATTATACTGTTTTTAAAAAAATTATATTTATTGTGTTCAATTAATAATAGGTGACCAAATAAATATAATAGAACAAGGTGAATACTTAAGATTAGTTGTGATATGCGTAAATTATACAAAAACCCCTGATTATTAAAATAAAATTAAAAAATCATAGCGGACAAATTACAACATGTCATTAGTTGGGCACATGATCCTCTTCACCTACTAAGTGGTCATTTGGAAAGTTGCTAAATAAGCAGCTTATCTATATATTATATAAAGAAAATGGTGTTTTTAGTAAGGAGGGTTGTGAGAGTTTCAATATCTTATATTAATTTTTTTAATTTTAA